CTAGTGCTCTACCTCTTGAGCCACAGCACCACTTCTGGCTTTTTTCTTTTTGCTAATGTGGTGCTGAGGAATCGAACCCAGGGCCTCAGGCATGCAAGGCAAACACTCTACCACTGAGCCACCTTCCCAGCCCCTAGGAGCTTCAATCTTATGGTATCAGCGAACGTGAATTACTAATGCTCCCAGGAAAGCCAGGGAAGGGGTTAAAGGAGTCAACTTGAGGCCATTGAGAATAGTGGTACATGCCTTCAGAATTTGAGGGGCTTTGAGCTTTGAGCTCAGAGGTGGAGCTGGACCCCTCTTGGTACAGGTGTTTGGGCTGAAGACCTTGAATTTGCTTGACTTGTTTGCTCAGTTGGGGTTCTACCTTTGCTTTTTGCTATTTGGGAGGTGGAGTCTTATGAACTTTTCTGGCTTCAGACTGTGATTCCCTGGTTCTTGGATTGCAGGCATGAGCCACCAGCACCTGACTTCACCTCCTCTTCTTCATTTGTTATTTCCATTTCTCTCTTCCTTCCTTTGGCATTCCAGTATAAACCATTTTAACATCAAAAAAGGCAAACTGGAGACAACTTATTTTTAATTGTGCTGGTCCAGGGGCTTGAACTCAGTGCCTGGGGTGCTATCCCTAAACTTTTTTTGCTCAAGGCTACTTCTGGCTTTTTCTGAATAGTTTATTGGAGGTAAGAGTTTCACAGACCCTCCTGCTTGGACTGGCTTTAAACTGTGATTCTCAGATCTCAGCCTCTTGAGTAACCAGGATTACAGGTATGAGCCACTGGCACCTGACTAACGTACCATCTTAACCATCTTTAATTACAGTTTAGTGGCATTCAGTAAATTCACCTATTCTTATGCAGTCATTCATCTCTAGAGCTCTTTTTATCTTACAAAATGGAATCTCAGTGATAATTAAACTCCCCATTTTATCTCCTCCCTACTCTGCTTTCTTCCTGTGGACTTGACTACTCTAGTACCTCATGTAAACAGAATTACACATTGTTTGTTTATGGCATACTTCATTCTGCATGGTGTCTTCAAGTTTATCCATGTAAGTATGTATTAGAATTTCACTTTTTTTTAAAGCCTACATAATATTTGTTTGCATGCACATAGCTCATTTTCTTCATGCATTCATCCATCCCTGGACACATGAGCTACTCCATCTTGTAGTGGTAGTGCACAATGCTGTTGTGAACACTGCACAAGTGTGTCTTTGCTTTCAGTTCCTGTGTGTGTGTGTGTGTGTGTGTGTGTGTGTGTGTGTGTGTGTGTGTGTTGCAGTAGGACTTAAACTTAGGGCTTGGGCACTGCCCTTAGCTTTTTCGCTCAAGGCTAGTGCTGTACTACTTGAGCCACATCTCTATTTCTGGCTTTTCAGTGGTTAATTGGAGGTAAGAGTCTCAAGGACTTTCCTGCCTGGGCTTGGCAAACCTCCATCCTCAGATTTCAACTTCCTGGGTAGCTAGGATTTCAGGTGTGAGCCACTAGTGCCAGACTAAACTTTTACTTCCCTAATCAATGCAGACAGGAAGGTAGACCTGTCCTACAAACACTGAAGAGGAAGTAGAATCTTGGCAGGACAAAGAGTTTGCCAAGGGTCAGACCAGGTACTGAACAGGCAAGATGCTGTTAGGTCAAGTTTATAGACTACAGAAATTCATTCATCTGAGGGGCCAGGCCTAAAAAAGCACTATATGTAAATATTACTAGTGGTTTTCTGTATTTAGAAGTGATCTTTTGAAATATTAACACCCTTCAAATTTAAACTTTAGTATTTTGCTTAAAATAAAAACTAAACTATTTCCATTTATGAGTGCTTCACACGTATTTTGTTAGTTATGGATGGTAAAACAAAATAGAATAGTCAATATTTATGTCTGGTGCTAAGTCTCTAAAATTTTCCATAGTTTAATATTTTAATATTTTTGTTTTAGACAAACATGCTTGTTGTCAAATGTTGGGGAATTTTAGTGAAAATTCAGAGATTAAAATCCACCTATATTTCCATAACCTAGTTTTGTGTGTGTTTTAATATATTTATTAATAGGGTGATTTTAGGGTTACCAAAATCTGAGTGAGATTTGGAAGCATGGCTCAAGTATTAGAGATCCCGGCTAGCAAGGGAGAAGTCTTGGATTCAATTCCTAGTACCTCAAAATAAACCAAGTAAAAATTACAGATTTCTGGTCCACCTCACATCTCTCTTCAGAGACAGTTTTTTTTGTTATTTGTTATTTTTTTTTCCTTTCCCTCTTGCTGAGTTTGAGATTGAACCCACAGTCTTCTGCTTGCTAGGTAAATATACTACCACTGAGCTACAAACCCAGTCCTAGACCCCACTGTATTTTAAAAATTTTTTATTTATTTATTTATTCCAGTCCTGGGGCTTAAACTCAGGGCCTGGGCATTGTCCTTGAGCTTATTTGCTCAAAGCTAGCATTCTACCACTTGAGCCACAGAGCCACTCCGGCTTTTTCTGAGGAATCAGACTTAGAGGTTCATGCATGCTAGGTAAGCACTCTATCACTAAGCCATATTCCTAACTCTCCAATATATGTGTACATATATATATATATATATATGTACACATATATATTATAAATTATATATATATAATATATATATAAATATATACATATTTATATATATATAAATTATATATATATATATATATAATTTTATTTTTTTGGTTGTGGGGCTTGAACTTTGGGCCTGGGCACTGTCCCTGAACTCTTCAGCTCAAGGTGAACACTCTACCACTTGAGACACAGTGCCACTGATGGTTTTCTGGCTGGAGATAAGTCTCATGGACTTTGCTTGCTGGGCTGGCTTTGAATTGTGATCCTCTGATCTCAGCCTCCTGAGTAGCTAAGATTACAGGCATGAAACACCGATGCCTGGCTCCCCACTATATTTTTAACATCTTATATTGTAGTATAGTATTTGAATGAGCTGATCCTGGTACATTATGATGAACTAACCTCTTTTTACTCTGTTGTAGACACAACTAGTTTTAACAACTGGGTGACCTATATCCAACATTACAGTACCAAACAGGAGTGATTTCCGTATTTCAAAAGCACTGGCTGGGAAGGTGGCTCAGTGGTAGAGCACTTGCCTTGCATGCCTGAGGCCCTGGGTTCGATTCCTCAGCACCACATAAGCAAAAAGAAAAAAGCTGCAAGTGGTGCTGTGGCTCAAGTGGTAGAGCACTAGTCTTGAGCTGAAGAGCTGAGGGACAGCGCCCAGGCCCAGAGTTCAGGCCCCATGACCGGACCCCCCCCCCAAAAAGCATATATAAAATGAATTCTGACTTTACTGAATAGTATACTAATTTCATACCTTCTGGTTTCTAAAGAGTGGTTATTGCTGGGTGCTGGTGGCTCACACCTGTAATCCTAGCTATTCAGGAGGCTGAGATCTGAGGATCATGGTTCAAAGCCAGCCCCAGCAGGAAAGTCCATGAGACTCTTATCTCCAATAAACCACTAGAACACCAGTAGTGGGGCAGTGGATCAAGCAGTAGAGCACTCGCTGTGAGCTGAAGAGCTGAGGGATAGTGCCCAAGCCCAGAGTTCAAGCCCCATGACCAACCAAAGCCAAACAAGCAAAAAGAATGGGTATTGATTGTTCTTTAATTGTAATAAAAGTGGTACCTATTTATAATAATCACTCTGGCACATTAGAACAACTCAAAGGAATCCTATGAAAAACTGTACTCTGTGTGTGTGTGTGTGTGTGTGTGTGTGTGTGTGTGTGTATGTAGCGAGGACCCCTTGGGCTAGAACTCAAGGACTGGGAGCTGTTCCTTAGTTTTATTGCTCAAGGCTGGTGATGTACCACTTGAGCCTCACCTCTGTTTGTGGCATTTTGGTGGTGATTAATTGGACATAAAAGTCTCACGGACTTTTCTGCCAAGGGTGGCTTAGAACTTTGATCCTCAAATCTCAGTCTCCAAAGTAGCAAGATGTGATCCACAGATGCTAGAGGAAAAACCTCACTTTTTAAAAAGAATGCAGTTCTTTAAGGATTTCCCTTAGTTGTTTAACAAGAAATAATCCCGGACATTTGTGGCACACAGAGATCCTGAAGCAGAAGCGTTTCTTCTCTGTGGTTTTCACGAGAATGAACGATTAGATTCTGAGCCAAATAGGAAAAGTGATAGTCATTGGTCTTTAAGGGGAGTTCACTGAAACAATGTCCCCCTCCCCTGGCCCCCTTCCTCCCCCCCTAGCCCCCCGCGGGAGGCCCTGGAGGAGGGAACTGCACAATCCGCATTTTGCATTCCCCTTGGCCCCCAAGGCTAGAGCATGCACGCAGTCACGGGCTGGCAGCGTGGGAACTCCGGGCAGAGGTGGGGGCGGGGTGGGCGTGCGGGCCGGTTGCCAGGCAACAGGGAGCTGCTCCCACCCAGCGCTGGGCTGAGGTGGAAAGTCAGAGGAGAACTGGGTTTGGGGAACTAGTTTGTGAGTGGCAGTGTGGAGGTGGCAGGGGTGGCAGGAAGGGAGCCGTGCTAGGCGGAAAACTTACGGTTGTCAGAATAAGGGTGGAGGTGGTGGTGGGAGAAGCCTAGAGGGGGTGCGGGGAGGGGGCGTGGCTTCAGAGGAATTGGCGGGTGGAGGTGTGGCCTGGGAGTAGAGCTACTAAGTAATTCGGGACGACGTGCAGGGTAGAGAAGCAAAGTAAGTTAGGGGCGTGGCCAGGAATCAGGAGGCGTGGCTACAAGTGGCCTTCCACTGGGAAGGGCGTGGCCTGAGGTGAGCGGCTTGGCGGGCGTGGTCTGAGGTGAGCCACTTTGAAGAGAGTATCCTACGGGAGGGGGGGGTAGGGGAAGGGGCGGGGAAATTGGCTCGGGAGGCGTGGCCCCAGGAGCCGATAAGGGGTGTGGCCGATTGGGGGAGGGGAGGTAGCAGGCCTGGGGGCGTGGCTCCGGGTGGCCGGCGGCCGCGCGCGGGTGAGAGCCGGCGCCGCGCTTTCTTTCTCAGGCCGCCCGGCGGGTTGCTAGCCCTGAGGCGGTACCACCGAATCGGACGAGTTCGGGGCTCCACCTGCCCTGGGAGCGGCCCCTTTGGGGTGGCAGGGACGCTAGCTTTGGAGCCTCGGTCGAATGGGGACCCGGCGAGGTGAGACGGCACTGAAGGGTGGCGTTGGGGGCCGGGGCCGGGCGGCTGTGCCCGGCCGACGCGGGGCGCAAGTCGCTCGGGAGGGCACTCGCGGTGGGCGGGGAGGAGGCCGGGCGCGGCCGTGAGCCCTAATCAATGTCCCCCGTCCCTGGGCGGGGGGGTGTCCTGATCCCTTGGGTTTGTGGGATCCTGCCCGGGCTGCTCACCTGTTGGGCCGCGGCGAGCGCGCCCTGGCTGGCCGGAGTGGCTCGGCGCCCCTGGGCTGCCGCGCAGCGCTGTCGCCGGGCCGCGCGCGCGGGTGGCGGGCGTGCTCCCGGCGGCTTCCAACAGGATCTGTCCGAGACGGCTTTTGACCCTGAAACCCAACCCGGTGCTCCCCTGCACTCGGGCCTGGCCTGTCCAGGAGTTGTGCCAGGAGCTCTGGGACAGAGCTAGGGGGAGCCGAGGGGGGGTCCAGGGTCCCCCTTCTCCACCTGCCCCCTGCTCCGGCGGCGTGACCCGTGAGTGCATCCAGGGGACCGCGAGTGCTTCCCGGAGCCCTTGTCCTAGAAACCCACGTCTCTCCTCAGGTCCTAAAAACGAGGCTCAATCTGGGAAGGAAGACTTTGGGACCCAGTGTCTGTCGTCACGGGACCGGAGAGAGAGAGGGGGGAGTTGGGCAGAGTTGGCTTGCCTCCATTTCTGCTCAGGACGTGGGGGAATTGGTCTCTGAACCCTGGGAAGGTAGAATGGAAGCCAACTGGTGTTTGCCAGCGATCAGGGAACTCAGGTGACCTGTACTGGCCGGCCACCCAACGGACTGTGCAATTGCAGAGCTCGAGCGAATTCCTGCTCCAAGTGAAAAAAGTACGATAGAGATAAACACATTTAAACAACACACCAAAGCAAGCAAGCAAGCAAGCAAAGAATTTTAGGTTCGTTGTTTCTCAGCATCGATAATCATGTAGATAAAAGGAACAATAATTTAATTTTTTCTCAGCGCTTGTTAAACTCATATATTGTCCCTGCCCCGCCGGGTTTTCTGAGCATCTTCACCATGTTGTCCTATTTAATTTAATTTTCACTGTGTAGCCCACCAGGTTTCCCAGCATTTCTCTCTCTCTCTCTCTCTTTCTCTCTCTTTCTCCACCCCCCCCCTTTGGTATTCCACCTGCTGAGAGGCACAGAAAATTCACTCCATTTTCTTTTCGGTTTTGCTCTCCCCTCCCTTCCTATTTTCTTTTTATGCCTTTAAACTTTTCCTATAAATGCACTCTCTCACGTTCTGTCCCCGCGTTCGGTCCCCTTCCCGCCCCTCTTTCCAACTTCCCCTCCATTGTTCTCTGGGTGCCTCTTAATTATGCACCTCACCAAGGGCTGCCAGTCCTTCCCTGCCCCTCCCCCACCTTCTAGAGCTTGATGGGGCTGGTTCTTATCCAGCATTCTAATTTTCATCTTTTCCCTTGGGCCCCAAATTTGCCATCTTCTCTTCATCCTGCTCTCCTAGATGAAGATCTCCTTCCTTATATCCTTGGGCATGCTTCCCCCACCCCCCTCCCCCAGCCTTTTTATCTGCTTCTCCCTCAACTAAGTGCTTGCCCTAGCCCCAGCCCCAGCTACCCTCCTAGCACACCTGATCTTAGGTCCTTCTGTTGTAGGTTTTACAGGGTCTCAACATCCCTAGGCTCCTTTCCCTCCTTTCCAATCAGGGCCCCACCTCCCCGTACCTTGCAGACAGCTTTATTACAGAATGCCTAGAAGTGTGAGGAGGAAGACTGTGCTGGTTCAGGGGCTTGAACTCAGAGCCTACCCTTTACCTTTTTCTCTCAAGGCTGGTGTTTTACCACTTAAGCCACACCTTCACTTCTGCCTTTTTGGAGGTTAGTTGTAGATAAGAGTGTGTTTTCCTGCCTGAACTGGCTTGGACCAAGATCCTCAAATCTCAGACTTCTGCATAGGTAGGATTACAGGCCTGGTCCACATGTGCCTGGTTGGCAGTTGCATTTCTGCAGAAAAGCCCAAAATTTCAGGACCACCCCATCTGCCACTGTTCTGTTTATTCTGAGATGGAGTCAGATATGCAGTCCTTGAGTGGTGTTCAGTTCAATGTGAATAGGATCTCAAGCAACATTTATTTACTGTATGCTGTACTTAATGTATGCTTTGTACTGTCCCAAACAATTTGTAGGCAATAATGCACACTAGTAAGGGGAACACTAGTTCCCTCATAACTCTGTAACTGTTTTCCTTTATGGACAAGAAAAGGATACTCAGAGAAAGTCAGTAACAGGTGGGTTTCTCAGGTGGTTGCGGTGGAAACCCTCTCCTCATTGGGCACAGAAGTTTTACGCAGTTTTATGCAACCTGTTGAACTCAGGCAGCCCGAGCTGTAAGCTTTGGAAATGAGGTCATTGTTTGACATGTTTTGTTTCGTTTCTGATGTACATGAGAACATAGTTTCTATGGCTGTGGGGAAATCTGAATGCCTAGTGTCCTTCAGAAAGCCTGGTGACAGTGTGGACAATTTATCCATATCTTTAGCCTGCTTTCCCTTTCCATCACAGAAGCCAGCAAAAGAGTGTCATAAAAAAGGCAGTTGCTGACTGCCTCCTCTTGTATGTTGTGAAGAGTTCAGTTTCACTTTAATTCTGTGGACGTTGGGATCTCAGAGCTACATGATTTCATGAGTTTTTTTTTTTTTATTTCTGTTTCATTATGTAATCCTTTTTTTGTTTTTATGTTGGCCCTGAGGCTTGAAACTCAGGACCTGAGTACTATTTTTTAACTTGTCTGCTCAAAGCTGGTGCTCTACTACTTGAGCCACACCGACCTCTAGTTTTGTTTTTTTGTTGGTCATTTGGAGACCAGAGTCTTAGAACTTTTCCTGTTCTGGCTTGCTTTGAACTGTGATCCTCCCTCAGATATCAGCCTCCTGAGTAGCTAGGGTTACAGGCATGAGCCATTAGTGCCCCTCTCATGTAAGCTTAAAGCCTTGATCAGATATTTCCTTGTTATTCTTCCCTTTTGGAGAGCTGGAGGCAAATATTTCTACTTTCAGAGATCCTGTAGTTGATGGGTAAAGTTATGTAGCTGGAGAGCTGGAAAGTACTAGGAAACCATGGCCTGAATGATTGGATTTGTCCAAGGGGAAATAGCATAATGGTAGAGTGACCCCTGGACCCAGGGTTTTGCACAATCGGCCCCTGGCTTAATGCTCAGGCCTACAGCTTGGTGGGTTCACCTGTTTACCTGTTTCTGTTAACTTTTTCCTCTCTGTCTGTCTGTCTGTCTGTCTGTCTCTTTCTCTCTCTATTAGTCTCTGGTACCAGTCCTAGACCGTAAGTTTAAGACCTTAAACTTACGGCTCGGGCACTGTTTCTGAGCTTCTTTTTCTCAAGACTGGCATGCTACCATTTGAGCCACAGTGCTACTTCCAGCTTTTTCTGAGTATTTTACTAGAGATAAGAGTCTTATCGACTTTCCTGCCTGGGCTGGCTTTGAACCACAATCCTCAGAGCTCTGCCTCCTGAGTAGCTAGGATTTACACTCGTGAGTCACTCAGTTTTCTTTCTTTTCTTTTTGTCTGAAAGCTAAGCATTTAGAAAAAAAAATGTTTGTTTTTGAAATATGTAACAGCATAGTTATTTTCATAACATCACAGACATATAAATTCAGATGTTTTAGAAGGCACTATAATTTTCAAAACAGAAGGAACACCTAAGCTACATAGATTTCTCAAGGCAAATTATTTAGTAGGTGGGAATTTGAAAATCAGTCACTGGAATGTTAATTGCTTTTCCCCATGCTGGGAATAATGCACTGGTATAGATCTGTGTGTGAATTTCTTCATCTCTGAATCACAAAATGAGACAACAGTGAGGGAGAGACAAAGTAGCTGCTGTTTCTGTGTTGGTCTGTGCCAGGCGCATGCCCTTCTCGGGGAGTTCTCATCTGAGCCCTCCTCACTGATGCCTGGCACCTTCAGGAACCTTGACTGTTCTGCTTTACCATGATGCCCAGCTCTGTTCAGATCAGCTTTTGTTTTTTGTGTGCCAGTAGTGGCGTTTGAACTCAGCACTTCATGCTCTTTTTCACACAAGGCTGGGACTCTACCACTTAAGCTACTGCTTCACTTGCTGCTTCTTGGGGATAAATTGGAGATAAGAGTCTTTAGGATGCATTTGTCTATCTGGGCTGGCTTTAAACCATGATCCTCAGATCTCAGCTTCCTGAGTAGCTCGGATTACAGATGTGAGCCACCAGTAACTGGTTATCCCTAGCTTTTTGCTCAAGGCTAGAGCTCTACCACTTGAGCCATGGCACCACTTCAGGCTTTTTCTGAGTAGTCCCAGGCCTTGAGTTCAAACCTTACAACCGACCATAAATAAATAAATGAAGCTCAGGGACAGAGCTCAGGCCCAGAATTCAAGCCCCAGGAATAGCAAAAAACAAACAAAATAACAACAACAAAACCAAACTTTGCTGCCTTGAGGTGTGTTATGTGTCAGGATGTCACAGTTCTCTTGGGTGGCTAGCATGTGCAGATGGCCGTGGACTCCTTGGGAGAAGGAGGGAGATCTGTACATGTGGTTGTCTGCTTTGTGCTTCAGAGGAAGAGCCAAGATGACTTTCAGCACTCCCAAAACAGGGTAGAGGTCCAGGGAAGATGCTGTGCCTGAAGCCCCAGCAGCAGCAGCAGCAGCAGCAAGATTGAGACTTGAATCCAGAGTTGCGTGGCTTAGGATTGCCATGGTCATCTTTGTGTGCATCTGTGTGTTACAGTCTGTATGTCTTCCTAATTCTTGAATGCTACCTTAGACCTCAGGTACGTGGTTCCTGCTAGCTGAGCTGGAGATAGAGTCTAAGCAACAGAAACAGGACCAGCCAGCCTGAGGGCCTGGAGGAGTTTGTTCCAGGTCCATTTCTAGCACTCTCCAGGGAATAGGCAATGTTCTTTGCATTGGGAGATCCCTAAGGAAGCTGTGCCTGTAGAATTCAGAGACAGTTGCCTGTTCTTTATA